AGACATTACATATAATCAGGGAGTTTTGTTTGAACTATTTATACCACATTTTTAACGTTCTGTGAGCTATATTTTACCATTTCTCTTCCCAACGACCACCCACTACTTTTTGCTGCTGACAGATACTGAGGTATTAGGAGCAACTAGTAATTTCATGAATATGTAGCGTGGTGTCGAGTCAGGATTAACTATGAACACCGCTACAAAGAAACACGTGCCAAATGAATCAGAAGGCGAAGGTTGGACGTAACCAAATAGATCCGTAAAATCCCCGAGAAGCCAAATATCAGAAGGCAGTTAATGGACCAAATCGAGATATATTCGCTGGCGATCTCGTGGCATCGAAATGATACCGAGATCGTGCCAGGATACAAGCTTGGTTACAAAACGTAACCGAATTCGCGCGAAGTTACAATCAAAGTGTGAGTATATGAATGGAAGCACAAAATAGCTGTCATTAGCACAGTCAAACAAAAGCACATTAAAACAAGCACTGGTACAGTTGGTTATAATAATAATTGTTTTTATTAAACCAGTCGTGTTCTCGTGATAAATGTGAGTCACTACAAATATATGAGATCGAGTTGTGTTGTCTCTCATTGCCACAAGTTTGGTTGAACCTGTGTTTCGCGATTTGGATACGCTGGTAAGGATTTTTGAGGTTGCTTCCAACAGGGTCTTATGTTTTGCCTTATTAGTTACGTTGTTACACTTTTTCTACACTGTGCAAAACGCCTCAGGAAATCAGAGAGGGGTGACTTAACATAAGCCCATAGAATACAGAATAGTCAACCTCTGGAGGTATGATAGGGTCGCAAAAACTCTTTCGGCCTCTACCACATAGCTTCATTATTGTTTTTGAGCACTCCGGTTGTTGAGTACACCATAATTTACCTTAGTTACAAATTAGATATAGAGTTTTCATCACGAACTGACATCACCTGTAACGCCAAAACTCCATTTAAAAAATGGATGAAAGACTTTCGCGCCAAAATACGAGATCTGCTACCTTATACCTTATTGGTTCGTTACAAGTTATAACCTAGCCGTTTTACTTGTTATAGGCGCCCAGTTGTCACGTTTTGAATAAAACCACCTGTGAACCGAACGTACGTTAGCACTAAGTACTGGAATAGGCGCTGCGACCTTGAAATACCTCAAACGCTTCTCATTTGCTCGTCCATAAATTACAGTCTCGCCTATGACACGTGGAATTTTGAGGTTAACACTTTACACAATTATAACGGCTCGGTTACCATTAAAACAAAGGGGCTCCCCATCATTCTCTGCTAACTTAACTGTTTCTTTCTCTTAAAATAAAAAACGTGCTTCGGTATTTACAGTCAGAAGAAAATAAGTTACAGACATGTGATGAGTAGGATGTGCAATACACACATGTACGCTCATATAATAACAGTCAATGCTAATAAGTGTATAATTAGCAAGGTTAAATCTGACCTGAAAAGAGTGAATAAATCAGTCTCCGGAAACTAGAATAACCCATGTTGGCTTGACATATGACTATACGCTATAATGTGATGCTGGTTGTTTTTCTTTAGGTAACGTTTTTTTCGATAGTTGTCATGCATTAAGTATTACTACTAGTATAGCTACTAGCAAAAAGTTTCCTTCATTGTTTTTTAAGTCAGACTATATTTCCATATGGACATAAGAAAGTCTCACGAAGTACTATAATTGTGTTATGTTTTCATCAAGACGCAATTAAGAATTTGATTTTCAAAGTCAGAAATTAATTTTACTGTATTATTATGACAGATTAAAGCACATAGTGTAAAACATTTATTTGTACAACAATTTTAGTACTTACCACTGTCGAATAATGGAGGGAAAGCAATCAATATTTAACGATTAACATCACTTAGTTTATTTATTCAACTCCTCTTCTTATAGATATTTTAGATTTACACTGTCCTTGGTTCATACATCTAATATCTATAACTACTCTATAATGACATTGGAAATAAACGTTAATAAATTATTTATATATTAGCAAGATGTCTTAGTCCTCCAACAAAGAATTCATTGTTCCTCATTGATTCCTCATATTGTTGTAATTCATGTGACAAATGTTCTCCTTAAATAGTTTATGAACTACACCACTTCAAATAATTTAATATCGTATGTCTGTCCTTTACATATAACGTTGCTGTCTGTATCAGACTGATCATGCCTGTAAATCGACATGTATTTTGTACTTAACCCAGTATAAAGAGTTATTTATTTCATTTATCTAAAATTTCAAGTATTCTGGTCTCAGATTATTTGCTATACAATAAAGAATCCAATTCAAATCAATGATGCTTACCTCTTTTCTATATAATTTCAAGAGTTACTTAAAGCGAATCAAAACTGTTACTTGAATCTAACATAAAACTTTAGCTCAACAGTATCAATGTATTATGAAAGTACCAACAGTTACTAACACGAAGTATGCATGGTAGCTCGACAATTCCATACCATCACTTTAAAATTCAAGTTGTTACATAATCTGCGGCAAGTTGAGGACTATTGTTCATCTGAAATGCGATTGAATACCTCTTACAGTGCACGTATAGCGAATAAACACTAATCAGGTCGCTGAAAATGACATCGGTTTTATAAAGCATGTCAGTGAGAGCTCGTGCACAATACGTGCTGAGAGATGAAACCCAATGAACTTTGTAAATGCTCCGCCAAGCCATGAACGAAAATGGACACGAAGTTCATTACAACTGGTGGATTTTCGACATACGGGATCTGTGATAATCGTTTTCTGTACTACTTATACCTATTTAAATCTCTATCAGCCAAAAAAAATAAACTTACGCAACCATCAAAAGTTCACTCTGCTGATTACCAAGTCCTGATTTATGTAGCAAAGTTGTGGTGACGAGGCGATTGTTTATGCATTAGAATTTCAACATTTGTGTATGGTAAACAGAATACTTCCAATACATTGGACGTCTTACTGATAATGTCTGAGCCAATAGATCATCTGACGTATAATCAAGTTTATCCTCAAAATAAAGGTCAGGACAACATATGAATATGAAGTTTACCATTGCTTTTTAGACAAATGGAAACCACAGATATGAGAAATTTTAGTAGAATAATCTTCAGTTTTAACCAGGAAAACTCAACATAAATGTATTTTTAGGATATACAGATCCAGTATCAACGGTCGATATCCGTCGACATTTCTGATTTGTGACTAACAACATCCACGAATAAGGATTTCTTGTCTAATAAGTTTGATGATTTTTTGGGAATTTCAACAAAACAAGTTTAAAGCCAATTTAATAATATATGAAGCAATTCCATCCTGAAAGGAGTATTTTGGTAGTCGCACAATTTCCGTCCTAGAGTAGGTATAACAGTACCAGGAATTAAGTGATGGCTTAGGACTATAAATGTAAGACTTCTGTAGTAAAGGAAAGTGGGCTTATCAGGAATTGCTAAGCATTTTAATGTAATGGATTGAGGCATATTCTGATTTCAAGTCATTTCCTCCAAACATATACTACACTTCAAGCCTTTTTATACATACTTCTGACTTATCGTCAGTTAAGTATTTATCATATTGATTCATACGGCTCTTTAGCTGGACGTTATCTTAAATAACTGTTATTATTAGTAGTAATTATTAAAATAAAATTTTTTAGATATGTCCGAAACATACTTAATGAGTCACTAATACACCAGTGGATGATGACAACATATGTCCATGAACTCATATGAACGGACTACATTCGTACAGACATCAAAGAATCATTTTCAGAACACAACTTAGCTCCAATCTCAGGAAGCAACAAAATTACTTTGTACTTGATTTTGAAGATATGTATTCATTGAAGTCTCAGTCCAGTTAAATTTATGGCTACTCGAACTGTCGTAACACAGTTTATTCGAATAAATTAGGTTACATATCAAACTAATGTAAACGAAGAGATCAAGTAAAAGTGTTGAATAAAACATTAGCTAACGAACAGGTCTAGCGGTCCTAAGGGTTTTTGTAGTACTTCGAGACAATAAAAATGAATCACTGAAATATTTGTAGCTAGAGGTCGACAATATTCTGGGACTTATAAGTGAAAAGAGAATATGATCCGCAAATGGATGATCGTATTCACGTAACATAAACATTAGACAGTCAATCATTCTTTTATATATATGCTAACTCTGTAACTAACGTCTAGTTTGCATATTTTCCTGTTGATAAAATTTACCGAGATTTAAATGTTTTATTTCCATCATTACGCAAAGTAGGATTATCCGTTAATTAGTAATGATGTAACAAACGTAATATGTGGAATTCTTGAAGTCTGTATTGATTATCTATATTAACAGTTAAACATTAGGTTTCTAACAGCAGGATATTTTTTAACATGCTTGCTAACACACTTATTTAGTTTCGATAGCGTTTACTAATCATTTTAAAAAGTTAAACATTTAGCAGTTAGCACATACTCAGTAAAGATGTTAAAAATATGTACTATTAGAAAAGTAAGAAGTTCTAACTAAATCGAATGATAATACTAAACTTTTTCAACATACTTGATTAAAATTGTTATATAAGGTGTGCAATTTAATGAAAATAAAGTATACCAAGTGCAATAGTGAAAGAATTTATTGTTTTCCTGTTTGTTTGTCTTTTTGTTTTAGGTATACAAAACAACTTGTTCACAATATAAGCATAAATCATATGCTTAGTTATTACAGTCATATTTGTTTTTTATATTGTGTCCTTTTAAGGACAATAATAATAATAAAATTAGCATCAACAACAGAACAATAATGTGATTGGTAATACCACTATGAACAATTAAACACTAATACTTTTATATATTGAGCTAAGAAAGGTACTAAAAAAGTACCCTGTTTATAAGTACCCATCTATCTTCTTTCTATAATAAAGGTATATAAAGCCCTAAAATTCACTTAGCAAACTACAAAGTCAACAGAATAAGCAACAATTACAATCTACACTTTATCTCAAAATAATGTCACAGGAAAAACAATGGACTGAAGTTTTTCACACAATAGACAAAGACAAAAATGGGTTTCTTACTCGTGAAGAAATTGCACAGTGCTTAAAAGAAGTTGGTGTTTGTCCGAATGTCGCAGACGTAAGTGGAGAAAGTTCTTATTTTTTGGCAAATGTATCATTACCCCAGCCTATCAGTAAATTTCCATACGAAACTTTGAAAATTGAAGTTAACGTTTGTACGCGACTAGCATTTAAGTAGACATTTGGAAAATAGAATGTTATACTCGATTTTAATGACTCTACAGTAAATATTTCATTTATGTAATAATATATTATATACACACAAGAACCATACAATCCTAAATTAATCATTAATTACTTATCTTTACTTGACAATCTAAGTAGGTCCGAAATAAATGTCCATAACTTACTGTTTGTGAATCAGTTTTCGCTCTAACGCAAAGTTTTAGATAATATCTTTCTATTTATTGCATGTAAACTCTGGGTAAATAAAACCCCAATTTCGTCATAGGAAGTGTTGTCTTTTTATCTTAAGAATAATCAGAGTACGTCAATCACATGTTGAACATCTACAACGATTTGTAGAAACGAGCTCACACTCAAAACTTATGGAAGTTAAGCATTACATATTAGAGTCTAGTTAACTTCATGAATATTCAAGACGTTAAATTTCTTTAGTCATTTAATAAGTTTTGTATCCTTTTCCTTACGTGGCCCGTTGATATCTGTTTTGGTGAATTTGTGCACAAAGCTGCTAGTAACCTTAGACTGAGTATGGTAAACGAACAGGAGAATGCATGAAATTTCGTTCTTTTGAAATCAGTGTAGGTTAACCATGAAAATTAGAGGCTTTAAATATAAAAATGAATTCAGAATAGACTGGTTGATCTAATCATTACCAATATAATTATTTTCTAATTGTTCGAAATTTACTTGAATGTAAATTGCTCAAAGAAGACTAAAAAGTTTATTCCTTTCAAAGAAATATATTTTAAACTGAGATATCTAAATAACTGTAATTACTTTAAATGAAATTCCTCTTCTCATCAGGATATTTTTCAGAAGAACTCCTGGAGGAATAAAAGAATACTTTTCGTTCCACTAAACATTTATTTTGGGAACCCTAATTTAAGAAACTGAGCAAAAGAATGTTAAAAAATAACGTTAAAATCATATAAAAACATTCAGATAATATACGGAATAATATCACGTAACTTTGATGTAATTGGGCGATTTATAGTCCATTTTGTTTCAATGAACAGACAGTTTTGTTTTAATTTTTCAGTATATTCGTGTATTGGCTGCTACGTTCAACTATAGTGAACTCTACTTAGTTGAAAGTACCCTGTAAGAATATTTCTAATGTTCATCGTGTCAATCTGCAACTGAAATATTCATCTAAGCAAACCACTGGTGCTGGTTTTCACGGCTCAATATATATATATATATATATATATATATATATATATATATATATATATATATATATATATATATATATATATATATATATATATATATATATATAAGCCTCCCATCAGCATACTCCACCCAACCCTATCCTGGACAATCCTTTCAACTTGTTTCATGTCTGCTTCTAATTCTCGATGCAGCATATTATTCGGCCTCCCTCTTTTGCGTTTCCCTCCAGGATTCCAAGTTAGAGATTGTCTCGTTATGCACTTTGACGATTTCCTTAATGTATTTCCTATCCACATCCATCATGATCTCTTAATTTCCTCTTCATCTGGAAGCTGATTTGTTCTCTCCCACAGCAGGCTGTTGCTGATGGTATCCGGTCAACGGACATTCAGTATCTTGCGTAGAAAATTGTTTATAAATACTTGTTGATGATGATTATAGTTGCTCCCAAAGTTTCAGCTCCATACAGTAGAACTATCTTGACGTTCGTATTAAAGATTCTTACTTTGATATTGGTTGACAGTTGTTTGGAGTTCCATATGTCCTTCAACAGTAGGAATGAGGTCCTTCCTACTTTGCCAATCCTTGCCTTTACATCTACGTTGGATCCTCCTTATTCATCGATGATTCTGACTAGGTACGTGAAAGTTTTCACCTGTTTCAGAGTTTCTTCATCAAGTGTGGGTAGGTTAGTGTTCTCCGTGTTGTACTTCAGGATCTTGTTTTTAACCTTGTGTATGCTGCGGCCTACTCGTGCAGAGGCTTCTGCCACACTGGTTGTCTTGATCTGCACTTGTTCGTGTGTATGGGATAGAAGAGACATGTCGTCCAGTTTCATCCAGGCTGTCCATTGTATTCCATGCTTCCCCTCAGATATCGAGGTTTTTAATAATCCGGTCAAACACCAAAAGAAACAGAAAGGAAGAGAGTTATATATATATATATATATGCTATTTATGTATTATATTAATTTTTTTACATGTCTCTAAAATCTACATTTATGTTGTGTAGAAAATAATCAAGGAAACTGATGTGAATAGTGATGGAAAAATTTCTTTAGAGGAGTATTTAAACGCGCTAAGAAAACTCCCTCCTCGTGAAAAGTGGTAAGTTTATTTGTATTTGATAAGCAAGTAAATGTTTTTTCCAATATTGTCGAAAGTTGAGAGCTTTCAATTGACAAATGAAATATAAAATAGGAAATCATCTGGTAAGAATCACAATACAGTTAATAAATAATTGCTAATCATATCTATTCAAGGAAGTAATATTTAATTAGTTGACAACGAACACTTTTAGAGAATTCACTGGTGACACTATACGTAAGGACAATTTTAGCCCCAAATAGACTATTAATTGATTTCAGAATCATACTTGTGAGGATAGCGAAAGCTAATTAATAAAATAAACTGTTTAAGCTAACATTCATACACGACTCTAACAGTTACATGATGTTTGGATGTTCATTTGCATTCAGTTGTGTACAGCATTACCTTTATTTTTCGGTGATCTATAGAGTTGTGATTCGACTATATGATCATCTGAGTTTCAACTGTTTTCATTATTATTATTCATCACATCTTTCCACATTCAATCGTCTTACTGTCTTTATTTCAAGTGTTGCAAGATGGAATGAAGTATTTCAGTCCATAGACAAGGATGGTTCGGGAAAAGTTTCTATCAAAGAATTGGACGAATTTCTCAAATCCTCCGGTATGGATATAGACCAAAAAAGTTTACATAATTGGATGACACAAAATGACAAAAACAAGGATGGTGAACTAGACTATGATGAGTTCTTAGCCTACGTACGTCAAACATATAAGTAATTTTTTGATGACTGGTTTAATAATAGTCAGATGACTTTTTATCTGTCTATTTAAATAACTTCTGAAGTGAATAATTTATGTTGTTTCTTTAGAATTAGAAGGTTTAATCAACATGTTTTTCAAGTGGTAATTTCTATAATTAAATAAAAATATTTTCTAAAAATAATTAAGTTCTCTGCTTACTCTTTTATTGATAGATGATGTCCCATGAAAATTGTAATTAGTTTGGTTAGGATAAAACAAGAAAACATTACTGATCATCATAAATTGTAAACGATGTAAATAATACACAAAGCGCTGACTGCTAGTGAACAGTCTGGGATTCAGACATTTTTGACTATCAGGACAATTGTTAACTTGGTTAGTATTCATTAAGATATGTGCGAGCAGTAGACTCTAGAAAATTGTGGTAGATATTATTACATAAGCGAAAAGCAAGGAAATTGAATTCTCGACTATACTAATTTCTTGTCAGTTAGATGACTCTGTATCTGTTTTTGACACACAAAAACAACAACTGTGATGTATTTTATTCTTCTTTTATGGAAGATTGTTTGGTGTTTATTGTTTAGAACATTAAATACACAGATTATTGTGATTTATAACGATGAATTTTAATTCAAGCTAAAAAACTTCAATTCTTCGCGGAACATAAAGTAGACCTTGTTGGTTTTTGTTGACAATTTTACTATAAGATTCACAGTGTCACGATTAGTCAAGTACATTAATTGAAGAGCTGTTTTTAAAGCTCATGAAACATACTTACAAGAAGTTTCATAAATCTTGAGCTTCTTTCCTGAAACAGTGTAATTTGAGTGACTGTTCGATTACGTACAGAGGATAGACGTTACTGTTGGCTTTATGGGTGCTCTTTTACACAGTAATGATCAGTCAGCTAGTAGTCACACAGCTAATTGTTCTTAGTAAGGAGATTGATGAAGAATGATACATCTCTCCCATGACATTTGAATAAACTTACTTTACATTTGATAATATTGGATATAATTTTATTGAAATATGACCACTTATTGATATAATTCAACTTGAAGGTTTGTGATTATTTATCCAACAAAGTTATTAATTTAACAGTTAAACTCACTAGTCAATCTAAGCTAGACAACTGTTGAAAACCTGGAAACACTGAACGGCCATTTAATCTCAGTATGGAACTCCTCAACAGTGCGTACCCACGATCGATCGAAGTTAGAAATTAACACCGTTGAATTCCGGATCAGTGGTCTAGAGGTAAAGCGTTCGCACGCTAGACCGAAGGTCTTGGGTTCGACTACTGTGTGCGGACTCGTGGACGAGCACTGTGGAGGAGTCCCATACTAGGTCGAAACAGCTGTGTAGTGATTCCAGACTTTTAATAGTGGTCTAGATTACATTGACTTATGAATTCAACTATTAAGATACAACGATTTCCATGAACCTCCATACTGGCAATTATTATTATTGTTACATCTTAAAGAGGGATATCATAGTAATCCAACTACGATCATTTGAATAAACCACCACGTCAAATTTCAACAAAAAACCACGGGTTAGCTTCAGTTGGTGGAAACACAGAGGAATTAAAAAGTTAAAGAATTGGTGATATTTTGTAAAAACATGAATTCGTAAAATCGAATGTAACTTATAGTCAGGCGATAAATAGCGAATGAATATCTTTGATACTTTCACTAACAAAGGCCTGGATGAAAATAGCTGTTTAAATATAACCCTAAACTTTTAAATACATAAGTTGAAAAGCTGAAAAATTTAGAAACAGATACTGTGATAACGAGGATCAATGGGAAACTCTTTTGAACTGAATGAATAAGAATCTATATTTACAACAATTGGGAAATCCGACTGAAAATCTTTTAAAAGGGGAAATCTCGCTTATTTTATAAAACTATAAATTTATTCAGTATATTTAGATGCACCATGATCACGAATAAGTCTTTTTTATTGTTGTAATGTATTTTTCTTATCCTTGATGCTGAACTCCAGTTATTGCATTTAGACAATTCTTTCTTGGGATAAAACATTTAATCTGCTTCAGAATGTTACGAAGCAGGACGCATATTTATCAAAGACAAACTAACTAAAGGGAAACTAAGATTCTGATTTGAATGACTTTCATCAAGCTTATTTATCGAAATACGCGGGCGTTATTTATGCTAGGACATTCTTTTTTGTACGCTTCTTTTTGCCCAATAGTTTATGGAGATTTATTTGCATATCATTTATTAAAATCAATCAACCAATCGTAGAGTTTTCAGTCATGGAGGTCAACTATTGTGTAATCAGCTTGATGATTGGTTGCTTAGAGAATTACTTTTATGTATGCGATTTACATATGAAGAAATAATGTCCACTCCATAAGCCTTAACAGACTACTAGCTTTTCTGGAAAGAAACATAAACAGTGACTCGATGTGACGTGAGGCTAAACAAGGGATTATTTTTGTATCGGTTTTTTGATATAGCAATTTGTTTGGTTTTTTCCTGGTAAAAAAATAAAAAAGATGAATTAAAGGTTTTATTGGAAACTTGTTTTTTTCTTAAGAATACTTCTTAACAGAATATGAACTGGTCGTTAGGCGTGAATGTTAATCTTTGAGTTTATTATCTAGTATATCCATATTTCGGCACCATGACGAGACTATTAAGAAACGAATATCCACGTATCATTAGCTAAATGTTATTCAACACTTTGACAAAGTAAACGACCGTACACCTCTTCTTCGTGTTTTGTTTCTGCTCTACTTTCTTTCAAACAGGGAACCTCTTACTATACTATTGTTTACAGATTGTTATTAAAATGATAGCTGATATTCCAAATGAATTATCTTCTAGAAATCTCATTCCCGTGGTTTCTGCATTTATCTTATTTTCAATTTAGCAAACGTCTGTGAATAAGTAAAATTCTTCCTTGAATTCTCTCGGAATTTTCCATTGTTTACTAGCTAATTATTGACTTTGACAGTACTTTCGATCTTATTATTTTTCTTTGAAAACATTCAGAGTACTATTGACCCACAGGAAAGTACAACCAGAAGTTTTCCCACAAAGTCGAAAGAAGACGGGTTTCGACCTTACTTGTAATTAAAAATTGGAAAAAGTGAGGTAAGATATTTCACACAATGTTTTACTCCAAACTAGGAGAAACAAACATAGCTTCATTCCCTATGTAAAATATATCGGATCATGTTAACACACTGAAGTACTATATCTAGAGCTCACTATTTCGAATCAATAATCCTAACTTAGGAATAAGCCGATATACAACCAATTGAAGAGTAACGAATAAGGCGAAATATGCGTTCGAGATTCCACCATGTGCCACCATCCACCTTTGCTTATGTACGCTTGTGATATAATGGCAGTATCGAGATCAACCGAACCGGATGCAAATGTTAATTGCAGTCCTAAACATCAATGGAAAATTCCAAATAAACAGTAAAAATTAATTAGAGCAGTATCCTGTTACAAAGCATCAAACACTAAAATAACTAAAATTTGGTGTTAAGTTCTAAAAAATCACTGGCTAAAAGGATATGTCTAAGTAACATTAGACATTCGTATTTTGCCTATTTATTGGAGTCATATATTCAATAAATGGTACAGTTTTTCGTATGAAACATTAGAAGATTAGTAAAAAAAATCCTCGCTAAGCATTGAAGAAATACTGTATAGTTTCACAGTCTGTAATAGGCTCACTTAATCGACCAGAGATACTATCACATGAGATTTTGGTCTGGTAGAAAATATCAGTAGTAAAAGATGCTTTAACACAAACGCGGCAGGATAAGACCATTTTCAACATAGGATTAGTTAAATATGAATGATGTTTGAGGTGTATGTCTTTCCCCACTGATAAATCACATCTTAGATTATTTGGATACATTACAATCCATAGTATTGACCCACTGATTGACAATAACAGACTACGATAGTATCATTATAAGTGATGCCTCCTAAAGTTGTGTCTGGTAAGGCTGCGAAGAAAGCGTCGAAGGTTAAGCTGCCGAAGGTTGATAAGAAGAAGAGGAGGAGGAGGAAAGAGAGTTATGCTATTTACATCTACAAGGTTCTTCGTCAAGTTCATCCTGACACCGGTATCTCGTCGAAGGCAATGTCGATCATGAACTCGTTTGTGAACGATATATTTGAGCGTATTGCCGCAGAAGCCAGCCGACTCTCTCACTACAACAAGAAGTCGACAATTTCGAGCCGGGAAGTGCAGACAGCAGTCCGATTGTTGTTGCCAGGTGAACTGGCAAAACACGCTGTATCTGAATGCACGAAGGCAGTGACGAAGTACAGTGGTTCTAAATAAATTGTTTCGAGAGTTTTTGTGTAGAGAACGCTTCCACGGCCCTGTTTAGGGCCACCCGCTTTTGTAGACAAATCGTTGTTTTGGAACTTCGATTTTGCGCGTATCTCAATCGGGGTTACTTCGACGCTTCGATAGAATTAACAGTGGCTGGTCCTATGTCGAGCCCACATAACTTACTCTGGTTGCGGACAAGCCAATTCACTCATTCTCCTTCAATCATATTTTAACCTTGTTAAATATTCGTCTATCAATCTTGACTGTTGTGGTGTATGAGCGTATGTGTGTGAGTTTCTTATCTTACTTATCATATGTCTGTAGCTTATTTTATCTGACTATAAATATTGATTAACGCTCGGTTAAATCGAGTTGCACGTCATTTCGCTCCATTTTTTTCTCTTCGTTCTGTTCCTCTGATTGTCTGTCCATATCAATGAGTGTACAAAATATATGTATTCAAAAATCTATTTCCGTTTTTGACTTATTTAATTCCGTTATTCGACGATTATACACAAGGTTTGACGATATGTATATTTCAATAACTCCGTAGCAATCATCATGCGATCCAAGTGGAATCAGATCTTGAGCCACTAAATGCTACTCATCAGATAAGTAATTTCTTGACTCACTGCCCATTGGCTACATCACATAGCGTATCAAATGCTATCAGTCGTTTC